AGAAGGAAATTCTTATATAGCACGTGTACTGCAGCGGCGCAGTTTGATGTCCCGTTGGGGCGGTGTTCTGGCCCACAATTTGTCCATTCTGGGCGCCATCTGTCTAATTGAGGAGATCGTTCGCCAGTACTATTGTCTCATGATGCCGCCAAGAATTGCAATTTCGTTTCCATCGCTTCATTGCGTGCGGGTGTGAGAGTGGCCCCCTCCGGCTGCGTTAATAGTGCCGCCCCCCCCCCCTCCCGCCCCGCAGCGCTAAACAATCATGTGATGAAGTGGCTCTTGTTTAAGGAACAACGGCACAACAGAGAGGATTCGGTCCCAGTAAGTACTCCATTATATGGGAAACTAAAAGAATTGATAAAAGAACATCGAAACAACAACAAAATCGGTTTATGTAGTTGCTACGTTGTAGACAGATTATGAATTTTCATTTCAATTCTAATTAAATTTACTCCGTCCGTACACACGATCTATTTAGGAATAATAGAACCTAAAGAAAATTAATTAAGTTACAAAATTAAGAGAAGGAATCTCTGCATAAAATAAAATAAAACAATTTGTATATAAATAAATATTTCCAACACTCACACCAATTAGCCTATGCCCAAAGTAAGCACTGTAAGGCTTGTGTTATGGGATACTAGGGTAACGGATAGAATACATATACTATACATTATATGTATAAGTATACAGGGCGTCCCACAACTATCTCACACGGAGGGAAAGTACCTATATTAAATATTGAAGATAGGATATTTTACTGAAGGAAGACATATTTTTAATAATAACTAGAACTGCATTCACAGATTTTTTTAAAATCGCCTGTTACAACTAAGAATCAAACTCGTGAAATTTCGAAAAAATAACGACATATTTTATGATAACCATCGAAAGGGTTAATCATAAGGATTATGTTTTGCTAAATAACATAGTATTTTAAATGAAAGGTATGTCTTATTACGTGATAAAAATAATAAAGTGATATACAAATTGTAGTACGTATGCATTTTTTTCTTTTTGAATTCAGTTACAAAGCGATTGGCTGAAATTTGTAATAATAATTCGAAAATGGAACACATAAATTTTCAAGCCTGTGTTCTTTTGTTTTTCGTGAGTTTCATTTTCGTTTATTTGCATTTTTTTGTTAATTTACTTACCACTCGGTCTTTCGAAGGGTGTTCAAAAATCTTCTATCTAGAGTTCCTCCGTGCTTCGCATGACACGTCAAGCCGTTGGTCCCGGTTGCATCTGAAGTCGTTAGCACCCGCCAATCCGCACTGGGCCCGCGTGGTGGATCATAGCGCAATCTCCCTATTCCATTCATAGGGAAGGCCTAAACCCCAGCAGTGAGGACATTAATAGGCTGATAATGGTGTGGTGTGGTACTTCAAAACTGCTGCAACAGCTTTATTCGTGTCTGGACTTTTATACCACATAACATCAGCGAGTTAAGTGTCTTTGACTCTTTATGGTGCCACCCTTTTTTTTTGTCTGGGAAATGCCTTACGCTTCCTTCAACCACCGGGGGAGCGAGAAGAAGGTATGTGGGACTCCTCCTTGCTCAATTCAGCCAGCCCTTAGGCCGGGTGAAATGAGCAGGGCCCTACCTAACGCCCTGAACAGGGCCACTAAAAACCGGACAATACTCCTGCACCGGTTGCCCGGCGTACATTCTGAGGACCGCAGTCCTCCCAAATACTCCCGCAGCACGCCGGGAGTGCGGGTGTGGTCGCGGCAACCGTTGCCGACTGTACGCGCACCCGCAACGTGATTGTCCGCGAAATGCGGCCAGAGAATCTATGTCAAATAGAAGAGAAAAGTAGGAATATTATAATACCAATGCAAAATTCATATAAAAACATAATGATACAATAATAAATTGGTCCTATAAAAGTAAATTATTTATATTATTACCGTCTGCTTCTATAGTAACGTTTTGGAAGTGAAATTAAAAGGGATTTTTTCATCCAAGTTACTCATCTCCAAACATTATCTTACGGTACCTAAAACTAACTGTTTTAGAGCATCTGTGGGTGGATTGAAAGTCCAGTAATAGAATTTTCAACTTTTTCCCATTCTACCTACGCGGGATGTGTCTTCCTTGTATCGCAGAACTTTTAATGTCATAATATTATTAACTCACTCACCCATTACGTAGACATTTAAACGCATAGATTTGTAAGCCTGAAGCATCTTTAGGCATTAATTTATTTATCTTTTTGGAGTTTACTCCTTAAGAATCGATTTGCATATATAAGAGGCCCGGTATGAGAAAAATGTGAGCAGTAAAATCTATCGATGAATGGCATTAATGACCTCGTTACGTTTTTGTGCGCAACCTCATCTGCGCACCTTTCACTTTTAGCCATGGCAACGGATAAAAAACATTAAGTTGTCACAAATGTCAATAAAATAAATAAACTAAAAATAGATAAAATCGGAGCAAAATTAATGAAAACAAATAAATTAGAATATAGAGAAATGCCGGTAAGTGTCCAGCACTCTGGAATAGTGATTTTCAGTACAGATGGAATTATAATACATATTTACAAAATGATGACTAGTGTGTGATATTTTTGAAATTGTGTGTTTCCAGAAATACATAATAAAATGTATATTCATCATATATTTTAGTATGTATGATATGCTGATGTTAGATGATAAAATGTGTGACATGGAACCTATGATAGTCGAAACCATGGGACGATTCCTGAGGTATCTGTACTTGTAACCGACTTCTTCGGACTTGATTTTGTTTTGTGTCAGTTCAAAGACAATCGTTTTTAGAGTGTAAACTCCGGTCGTGCGTCGGAGCTGACACACACAATTTTATTTAATTTATCTTTTGGCAAAGAATTTTTTATCTTTTTCTATATAAGTATATATTGTTACGTGTCCGGATGGGGTTCGAAATTATATGCCAGTTCACGCTTGACAGTTCTTTATTCACCACACAGTTCACACAATTAACACACAATGTTAATTACAAAACACTCACTCAACACTGTATTTCACTATACAAGTCTCTAAACAATATCCTTGAACACTTTTGTTGCACTTTGATCGCCTTTGGATTCGCTTCGAAATCGCTGTTGAAACTCAACTATCTCTGCGCGGCGCCAATCGCGCTTATATACGCCGATCGACGCATTCTAGAAAGTACCTGTTAATTTGAGAATTACCTAGCACCCGCGAGTACGAAATACCTACTTATACCTACGCAGGTAACACGCATAACTTGTAAACAAGTGCAGATGTCGTTGCACTTTCTACCTTACGTCGCACTGCATAAGGCTCATTTCAGAATGAGCCGCATTACTCGACCTCTATCGCGACCCGCGGTGATCTGGCGAATTCGATCTCTGACACTTTCGCGGTTACGTTTCGAGAGCGTTTGTGACAATATATTGTATATCAAAAGTCTATTTCACCGGGTCGACATAATGTCACTGACATATGTAAGCCACGCCGTCGGTTTATTGTGGGGTGAGCTATTAACTGATTCCATTAATTAAATGCTCGATGTTTTTTTTATACGGAATGTTTCTTTGAACCCAGAATCAGTGATTTTGAAGGAGAAATTTATTCGTTCTTTATAAATAGTCCTGAATAAGAGAGTTCTTATGAGTGAGTATATTTTCAAGCTTTTGCGGAGAACTATATTGTAACTAACAACTTAAACATATTAAAAATCAAACAACTCTCAAGGGTTCTCACTTTTTTTCTTTACTATAACTGTATAATTCACATTAGAAAATACTTTATCCCTTATCTTTTCGCTTTTCAACTATTACGCACTTTTCTCCAGATCTCAGATTATTCTATCCACAGATTAGCCCGTCCACAGATGTTCGAATATTGTCTACGATACTCAGATTTCGTTTCGTTTTAACTATGTCATCGTATTTGAAATACTGTTCTATGTTCATAAATAACAATAAATGTTGTAATTGCTAACAAACAGTACAGTTGTAACGCATATCTGACACAGCCCTGATCTCGTATCAAAAATTACTGTCAAAAATGTCGACTTAAAGAAATTATCCTTGTTTTCCTATAGTCATTCATAATCGTCGTTTAAATAAGATACAATTGTAACAAATTTCCTTTAATGTTTTATAGGCATTTCCGAAAATAATTCTCAAAAATGTCACTTATCACCTGCTACTCGATAATTGTCAGCTTACATAATATTATCTCAGTGAGATAGGTCGACTTGATAAAATTGGTGGCTGGCGCTTCGCTTGTCGATTTCACCGATTATGCTTAAATAAATTATGCAGAGCAAAATTTTGTCAAAGGGTATTTATTATGCCTAATAAAAATCTGCTATCCCAACAGCATACCATTGTAAATTCGGACATATAAAAACAATAATATTTTCAAAATAATATACCCTAAAATTTTTTATGGAAGATTATGCTAAGTGTGTTGTGCCAAATGAATTTCGGAGCAACAAGAGTCTGCCAGACGGAAAGAACCCACGTGAGATACCTACATAACATACTTAACATGTAACAGTACTAGCTGCCCACATACCTCGAAGGGCAATAAGCTTTTTGGAACTTTCTGTTCCCTCGCCCACCATCAAACGTAAACTGTATGCGGTTACTTCCAAATAAAGGAATCTTTAGTAATTGGTTCAAGAAACAAAACTATTGACGATAGCTCCTAGAGCTTTTCGCACCGTTGAAAGCGTCCAATAAATGTTAGCAACCGATCTGATAGGAAGTAAAATATTGCTTGTATTTCAAACGGACAGGTAGTAAAATGGCAGCTTTGCAAATAATTTGCCTTTCACAAAACTGCACGAAGCCAGCCAGCCTACTCACGATATGAGAGCAGGCAGAAAGCAAGTTTATAGGGCAGGCCGCGGAGAGCACCCCCGCCCCTCGCGCTCGCACCCCCCTCCCTGTGCCGCACCCCGCGCGCAGTCGGCCCGACCGGTTTCCCTACGGCCGGCAATGCAGTCCAGCCAGTCAGCCGTCGGCAGCAGTGCGGGGTGATTGTGTGGCTGGTCACGACAACATCGCTCACCTCAACTTACGTTCGCTCGACACACACATCGGGTCGCGTGTGCCCATCGGATACCCTACGAGTGATATTATTTGATCGATTCGAAGATTTTAAGTGATAAAGTGCGAAGTTTTTGTGTGGAAAGTAAATATTAAGTGCATTGTTGTAAAAGCCGGTTCACCTCGTGAGCGAGGCCGGTTCTGTGTACTTGTGCTTTCTAAACGAATCCCGAGCGAGCGATAACTGTTGGCCGGCTACGTGATCTTTAAGACAGAGTTATTAGGATTGTGAAAACGAACAGGTGAGCTTAGTGGTGTGTGTTGTGCACTAACATTAACCAATCAGTCGTGTAACGTAAGAAGATCTAACCGAGCACTAACATTTTTCCTTTTCCAAGAAGCTTGTTAAATATCTAGTAGTTGCGCTGGAAACAAATACGCCACATGAACATAAAAAGAATACAGCTTTGATAAAGCTACTTATAGCTGAGATATTCTACTACAGCATCATGGTGTTATTAATAAAAACTACTATAAAAACTTATAGTTTATTTTTCTAATATAAGCTGATAAAAAGTTTGAAATATACGAGATTATAATTTATTTGCAATTTTGAAATTTGAAATCATGTACACGGTCACTATCTTAAAACCTTGAAATTCCAAGGTACGGATAAATTAAATGGAGCAAAAATTGTTTATAAAAGGATAATGATTGATGTGATGAGCGAAGGATGGACAGCTTAGTTTCATAGTAGAAGAGATATGAAGACTTGTTTCAAACAATTAAGTCGAAGATTCAAGTCACTTTGACGGCACGATGAAGCTATTAAATAAAACTTATTATAAATTATACAAATAAATTTTAATACTAATTTTATCAATAATGAGCCGTTATTACATTGCTGGGCTGAAATTAACAGGATTCTATCCATTATTGCAAAGAATCCCCGAGTGAAAAATGAAGTATTTAAAGAACTAACTAACACACGGGGCTACCGTGAATATGTTAGAGTCAATAGATCAATAGCACTCACCGAGTCCTGGCCTTGAATAATTGGCCCGTGGCAGCCACAAACACAATCACGATGATACTTGCACGGCTGTTACAATGCTTCATAAATATAAAACAGGGGATTTATTAGTGATTATATTAAAATTCCATTTAAATTGCCTTACGATTACGTGTTTGGATAAAACTTCATCAGAATCTTGCAGTGTTGCTAAGAGGCAAAGACACCGTGTCTATATTTAGGCCCTAAAATTTGCGTAAACGCACCAAATTCTGAGTGCCCAAGTAGCATACATGTATTCCAATGCAGCCTAATTGTCAGGAATTATAATTGTTCAGTAATACAGTTCTCCATAGAACAAATTACAAAAAAAACTACATTGTAAGGATGTTTTATTTACATGGATGATATCATTTTTGAAGTGATAATCGAACATGTTAGATTTTTTACTAAACTGCTTAATATGCATATAACAAAAACATAAGAACTTTAGACAAATTTACCAGGGTTGCACTTTTACTACAGAATACCTATTTTATTCAATTTGTCAATTCATAAGAAAATCCTCATTTTTGAACAATTGTTTATGAAGAATGATATGAAATAACTTTTATAAGTACAACTTAGAAATCACTAAGAAAGTGATTAATTATTCAATGAAAACACATAAAATATGACGATCTATTTCGAACTACCAATTAATCTTAAATTTAGAAATTTTCGATTCATCACTATTAGAATTTTGGATAGCGGTGAACTAACCTTTTAACAAGTTTTTCTTTCGATCAATATGAAGTCTATTTAACAGAGCAGAATTTTTGTATGCCGGAAAGAGTGATCCCTTATAAGTTCCGCTGGTATAAGTTGTCATGGGGGAGCACAAAAGTTATCACGCTGTGGGGCAAAAAGACGACCTTTCCAAACTCTGCAATAATCTAATCCTCTGTGCATTACACCATCTGTTGTTTATTACACCCCTGCCCTTTCTGAACAGTTCGAGTCTTGACAAGTTTAAGCTATTGGGCTTCAACTTGGGTTTCATAAGATTGCTTTCATACTAAATTACAATCATAACAGTTTGCTGGTTTTTGCAAGTTTCTACATTCAGCTTCATTCAATAAGTTTTCGTCCTGAACTGGAACTTGCAAAGGTGGAATATAGTTTTGCTTTTCCAATCTCGTATTTTAAGGACAATTTCGTCAAAGTGAATAATGTCTTATGGTTTTAACTTAAACTTTCTATTTATGTATTTTCTTTTGTTGCAACCATCTCGTTAAATCTTACTTTTAACGTGAAGTGAAATTAAAAGTAATTCATAATTGTTAAACGTATTTTGAATTAAACTTTTTAGACACCATTACCGTATATGTGTACTAACTATAAAACTGTTATATAACTTCAATTAGCTTTAAGGCTTAATTCGTTTTTTACATAAGCATTAAAGGGAAATTTGTCATTTGCGGTTAAAATGTAGTCATGAAGATACAAAAAGTCTCCTTATTTCAGCCATGGGAAAACCCTGTGCTCCAGCAGTGGCGCCATTAATAGGCTGATGATGATGATGATCGTCGATGTACTGATGGTCTTTTCTTGTTGGCTTCCACATGGTTTATTAACTGTTATTGTGTCTGTCAAATTATAGTATAAAGTATCTGATTTATCCTAAATTCGCCATAATTTTATCATCACCATAAACCACCACCACTATAGAAAATTTGCAATACTTCCCTAATTGACACCTGTCTGTGATCTGACTGCAGAAATGAATCAAATACCCTAATGACAACTTTTAGAAAATAATAACTTAAGTGGTCTTTTGATCATCTGAAGTTAACAATAGATGCTTTGCAAAATGCTTTAGAAATGCATTTGAAATTATACATATTTCTTGATAAAAGGTTTAGGTAAAGTAAACGTTTGATTCATAATCACGCATATATTCGTACGCTTTTCAATATTAAATATTTATACAGAGAGTTCACGACAGGAAACCGGAATTATATTTAAATTGCTTTCTCATACCTACCTTATAATTTTTCTTTCGTCTGTTTTATCAATTGTCTTTTTTTATCAACTCTTTTGAAATGAATGATATCCGATGTAAAAAACAATGTATCAGATGTTCAGATGTGTTGCCTTTTTTTTAATTAAATTATGAAATCACTTCGTCTTCCTTTGTTTGTAATGGAGGAGTCGTAACATAGTGCATTGAATTTCACGGAATCGTTAATATTGGCCATTGTAATAGATACTCTAAGATTCCTGGCCTTTTTAAATAAGTAAAAAAAATCTTGAAACGTGTTTCCTTCAATAAATACCAATACTAATATACCCTAATGTTAATCATTACAGTCGATTTAACTTAATATAAAAGCTAAATCTAACTAGATTTTACTTGAGTTGACATTAGCAATTATATAATTTAATTATTGCAAGAGTTGTGATATTGTGGAATTGTCACGTAGATCCATCAATCTACATGTGATGTTAAACTATCTATTAATCGATTACAGTCAGTTAACCGTATTGGATGAAATTTCTTTATCAATTAATTAATTCAAATTAATGTTTTTGGAAAATAATACTTACAGACCGGTAGCTGGTGACAGGTGACGTACCACGATTTTGTCGTGTATGCCTTTTTAAGGCTTGATAACTAACCCTAAAACATCAATGATGGTCAGGGTTTTAGCCCCCCTGCGCGTCCTCTTCATAAGGAAAAGCGCTTTTCTTCGTGTAGCGGATTTTCGTGGTTTTCCGTGATAATTTAATGTCATAAAATAAGTTGTTTAATTTCAAAAGCCCTTGGTACTAATACAATTGGTACGTTGACTTTATACCTTCTATTTTATTAATGAACTTTTGGTGGAAGCACTTCCACAAGTAAAGCTATAATGATAAACAGTGTTAAAGAAAAATGAGCTTCTAACTGACAACACTAATAAATACGAAAACATCAAGACAACATGAAAATGTGAATGATACATTATAGTCATTAACTGGATATGTAGATCATGCCAACAAATTACTTCTGGCTAGAGGAGATACTCAAAAAAAGCTCGCCGTCATTCCTATTCGTCCACTGCTTCAGATTTAATTTATTTGTTTACTCTACCTTATATCGCAGACTTTTTAACGTCCTATCATTATTATGCATATCAGCAGATGGCATAAAATTCATTTCTCAGGCAGAATCATATGGCATTCACTCATTTAGTACAGATTTAAACTCATAATTTTGTAAGCCAGAATCATATATAGGCATAAATGTAATAAATCCACAATATTTGTAAAGTGGAACTATTTCTGACTGCGAACTTTCTGCCATATGGCAGAAAGTTTACAGAAACCCCGATTATGTTTGGCTAAATTATGCAGAGTAGAATTTTTCCCAAGGTAATTATGTCTAATAAAATTTTGCAATCTTCAAAGTATGCCATTGTGAATTTGGACATATAAACATTCAGCCAAACAATGATTTTTTTAAATAAAACTAGTTTTTTACGGGTTAATGCACGAAACTTTATTTATTTATTGACGTTTCGCAGCCTTTACAGGCTGCATCGTCGGAATCAATTTTTATTTAATTTTGTCGAGCTACCTTCGAAAGACTTTTATTGAGCGTTCGGTTATTTCATTGTTCGATTTTTAAAGTTTTATTGTCTATGTATGAATTTATTACTTAATTTACTTAATAAAGTACTTTATTTAAAATTCTTTTTTTGTAATTTTGAGTTTATTTATTTGACCCTAACTACCGTAAACTACCACCGGTTCCAAAATTAGGAGACCTTTTTGAGAAGAACCGGCGAAACAAACTCAAGAGAGGCTTTTTTTAACATAAGAAGGAGATAGAAAGTGAAAGGAGATAGAGAGTGAAAACCTAAGAAACAAAAATGATTTTTTTTCCAAAAAGTATGCCTAATAATCATTACAGAAAAATTATGCCAAGTGTGTTATACCAAATGAATTTCGGAGTAGCAAAATTAAGCCGGATAGAGGAACACAATCATTTATTGATTGAGCTTATTATTATAGGAACGAAATATCTTTTAGACAGACAACTAAACTGGTTTATAAAATAATACAATTTATTCTATCCTTAAGGTACTATTCCGTGCATCGCGATCGATCGCGACCGCGCGCGGCCTACGACTGTCGTCGGTCGCTCGCGACAATAGTATGTATGGCACCGCTTCCGAGGTCCGCGACAGACGCGCGCGGTCGACGAATATCGTGAGCCGCGCGGGGCCGTGTTTCAAAATTAGTCGGTGTTGTTCGTCAGATCCC